ACCATACATATATTACCTTCAAAGGTTTGAGCATGGGACTTGGTCATCATGGCTGCAAAACCAGAAAATCCATGCCTGTAGCTGTAAATCATTGAATCTGCTGCTGCTTCTTTGCTGCATCAGGGGTAGAAAAGCATTGCCAAATAGGTTTCTAAAATTAGCAAGAACGAACAGAGGATATATATATATAACTTTGTAGAATATAATGCAAGAAAACTGAAGCACCTTCCGAGGACTGTAGCTAGCATATCATGGTGAGTAGAAGTGATGCGATCTACATCATCATGCTGCCTTGCTCCCATATACACAATGTAAACCTGTTTTTAGTGAAAAATGAGAAAGAAACATCAGTAAAGCTGAAACGTTTTTCAAAATTGACGAATTCAAAACTGAGTGTAAATTACAGACTTTGGATTCAGACAGTGCCGAGGTATAAACAAGAGCATTTTGGAAGACAAGTAAACAGACGAAGAAGAAACTGAACAGAATCAATTCATTTTGATTCTTAGCCATAGTTTGGATAACACAAGAAATTCAAGAAAGTGTTTATGCTTGATATATCTCTTCTCCTTCCAAGGCACCAGTATTTATAGCATATATGTGTGAGATATTTCATAGGAAGGAGTGACAAGGCATATTCCCTCTCTTCAAAGATTCATGATTGCCTCTGCATAAAATTAAATTCATTGGTTTACAAAATATTAGTGCTACTAGTCTCAAAAGATTTTTTGTTCCTGTTAGAGAATGCAAGATGAAGAATTGAAGATAGTGAATTATTGACGTCTTGTTATGTTGGCAGAGTGATGTCATATATTCACTGATTTAATTCCCCAGGCCATCAATTAAATAATTAACGATTAAGAAAAACAAAAGATGATAAAAGAAGGAGCTGTATTATGGTCCTATATGTATACCTTCCACTTTGACGTTGTATTATTTGTGCGCTAAAAGGATTTATTCAGATCCCCAAGTGATTAAAAAACTGATTGGAACAAGGATTTTCGACCAAATTTTGGCTATATTCGACCACTTCTGAATGGTCGAAAAAACGATGATTTTCAACTATGGGCGACACATCATGATAAAAGCAACATTATTGTTAATAATAGTATTGAAATTAAATATCTTACATTATTGAAGTGGCTGATTTCCATGGATAATTAACCACAGTTCCACCATTATGGCAAAGCGTCAAAGAAGGATACTACTTACCATACTGGATAAATATCGCTCATATAGTCATATGTAATAATATGTAAATTTAATCGTATTAGGAAGACTTTGTGTGACATATTGGATTAATCAAAAAAGTATTAACAAGAATGAAACTCATAATTTTTAGATACAAAATTCATGTTCTACCCACTTAATCATCCTACGGTATACTATCAAAGAAAATTAATGTTGGCAACTTCCAATAATACATTGCATGATTGCCTCAATTCATATTGAAATTTTATGTTTTTTGAAATTATGAATTAAGGGTGTATTTGATTAATGGGTTTACATATCAGGAATGAGAATTAAAATCGTAGTTAGTGTTTGGTTGATAACATTTTAAAACATAATTATGGAATTTGATTACCGCTTCAATTAAAAATCCTATTTCTTAATTAAAAATGGGTATCATTCCAAATCTTATTGGTAATATGATTTTTATGTTTGGATTAGTACTTTTTGATTTTTTTTTTTTTTGTTCATATTGTGCTTTGGATGTCATTAGATTAAGATTTAAGATCAATTGCCTTAATTTTTTATTTTTGTATTTTTAAAATCTTTATTCCCATTATAGGGTTATATATAACCAAACATCAATATTGATAGATTTATTATAACAATACCTTAAGTTCATTACGATGACATCAATTTGCATATTCTCATTTACACATACTTAGTATTATTCTTTATCTTTTGTATAAATAAAATCAATGTTAAAATATATATTATTAATAATATTTCATTGAGATTTTTTGAATTATACTTATATTAATAATTTTTTAATCTTAATTTATTTATTGATGGACTTGTAATATTGATAAAATGAACCTTCTACAGTGTGAATATGAACCTCCAGTATTCTCTTGATGAACCTAAGGTTCATCAGTAATATTATATAGTTGCATTACGATTGTAAAGACAATAATGTTATTCTCTTAAACTCCTATATCATAAAATAAATTGTGTGAGCTCAATTTTTTCTACAAACATTTTAAATATTTATGATATTGTAAAAAAAAAAATGATATGACAATAATGAAAAATTTATTATTTTGTAACGACGCGAAATATGATGTGTCAATAATGAACCATTAATCGATTAGCGTCTAGCGCCTTCTGCAACATTGCATATGAGAAACACAACATGTTGTATTTGTGTTTTTCGTTCATATTTTTACCAACAAAAAATATAAGTACGACTTGCGAGTTAGATTTTATTTATTTATTTATTTATTTTTACAAACCGTATTTCAGAGAAAAAAATGATTCAGGAAAATTGGCAAACTCAAGTAGGACTTATGTTTTTTTTACCAAAAATTCAAGTCCTTTATAAAAATTTTCTTCTTTTGTTCGAAGTTTTAAAAATTGCCCATTTCATTCAATTTCCCTTGATTTGATTCCCCAAAAATGAACTAATTGAAAAAGCCAAGAAAGTATTGAGTTGAAATATTGAGTTGTAGTATTGTCCTCTATATCCGCCAAAGTTAGCTCTCACCAAGCATTGGATTCGGATATTGTTTGTAGTTTTGTACCTTAATATCACCGACTCTCAAGACTTAGTAATAACACAATAGCATGAGCCTAAGTACCATGAAGTGTAAGAGACTTGAGTTATTTTGTGCAAGTCCAAGGAAGATCGGGCTGACCGATTTGTTTTTACTCTAGGATAAACTGTTTAATCAAGAGGACGCATGTATTTCATTATAACTTTTCTAGATTCACTCTAATATAATCTCCATTAATGCAAGGCAAATCCTTAAGACATGTGTCTTTATCCTTTTGTAATTCATAATAGCTAGAAGCTACATAATGTTTTAAAAAAAGTATATATATAGTTGGTTTTGCTAAATGATATGTGAATTGTCTCACTCGGAACGATATAAAAAATAACGTTGATAATATACATTCAACGATATATCTCTTTTAATTTATGAAAAGATCATATAGGAATTTAATATTGTTCATTTAAAGATCGAGTAATTAAGACTCATGTTTAGCTCACTATTGTGTCTCTTCAATGACAGTGTTTGGATATATATTAGCAACATTATATTATTGTGTTCATACGCATACTATTTTTTAGTTTTTACCTCTACCTACTAGCTAATAAGTCAGGAATGAAATGAAATCTTTACTTTACTACCATCCAAAGGGGCAGCTGGTTTCAATGAATAACCACAACTCCACCATTATTGCAAAGTGACAAAGAAGGACGACGTACGCATTAGCTTAGTGTTGGGTCTACCCTCCTTTTGATCCAAAAAAAAAAAAAAAAAAAAAAAAAAAACAGTTCTTGAATTGATTGCCTCAATTTGAGTAGTTCAACATTCTGATGACATGATAAGTGCTAATTCTTAGTATTTTTATAAGTATGTGTTTATTTGATTCCTTTGTGTCATTCAGGTGATTTGGAGCTAGGTATTGATTGTAACATCATGTAAATTGGAGTTCAATTAGATGTGTTTTGAAGTCATCTTGGCACAAAGACGTGTTCTGAAAATTATGAGAGATCAAAAAAGTGAAAAAAAGAACGAGTTGAAAGTATCATGACATGACTTGGGGACTCAAAGGAACAAAGGAAATTAATTCATATATACAGTTATGTTGCGGATTATAGTCACTGATTTAACTCTACAGACCAACAATTATGAAAAAAATGATGAAAGAAAAAGGAGCTTTGCTGTGTATCCACAAAAGTTCCCACGTTAAAAAGGTGATTGAAAATTTGAAGCAGACAAGTTTAAGGAGAATTATATTGAAGTAGGGTACATTATATTATTATATTCTTCTGTTGTGGATTATCTTAAAGTAACAGATGTCGAATTCATGATGGTGGGAATATTGCCTGCGCATGTTTCTGGTTCAAGAATACACCCAATCACCTTCTCTCAGCGATGCAGCTGATCCGGCTAAATTTAAATTGCTACTGTAATACAAACTATGAATTTAGAGCAACCTTAATCAAGTTGGTTAAATTAGTTTATCTTTTTTTTTTTGTAGTTCTTTACTGGCTATGGTCACAGTACAAGGTTTACTTCGTACATGTCTTCGAATAGTGGCGAGAGTATCCTTCGTCACCCAGTGTTTGGAAGTTATGAAGTTAACATTTTACAACCGAAAGGTATTTAAAGCATCAATCGTTCTAATGTTCTAAATTAATTAAAAAGAATCATCCAAATTATATAATCTAACCTTCAAACATCAATCATCTCTTTCTAAGGAAAGCGTTGAATCGGAAGATCATCTGAGTAAGGCGACTTAATGGCTAACCACATCTTTGACAAAAAAATTTCCGGCATTGAAGATTAAATTGACAAGGAGATCATGACTTTGATCAAAGGATTGTCAAGAGGAATTAAAGCAACTAGCATTGTGTTGCAAAAAGGCTTTGTATCACTTGTATTTGTGTAATCAAAATACATATATTAAAACCCCTTTGGGTTAATAACAAGAAAAATAGAGTAAGAAAATTCTCAAACCACTATAAATCTATATTCACACACACTTCACACATTCGAACAAACCAAACCAAGCTAAAAACGAACTTGACAAGTCAAAGAGTTCCACAGTAAAACTAGCAAATTTAATTTACAAAAGTTCAATGTTTTAAAAAGTCTAATGTTATTTACAAAAGTTCAATGTTTTAAAAAGTCAAATGTTATGAGTACATACCATAGTCAATAACTTAATTTTTATTTTTTCATGAAATAAGCATCAATTCAAGATTATTAATACATAGTGTTATCAGATATATAGGAATTCTCACACTATACACCATATCATTCTAAGTCAAGCTCCCATAATAGTATCTTGATTCTTACTTAATACATTGTCTTGACAGATATAGGAATTCTGACATTATTCACCCCATCATTCCAAGTTAAGCTCCCAAAATAGTATCCCGTGTTGAAGAGATAGCTCGTGGAAATTTTTACACTGAAGGAGATCTTCTTGACGCTGGGATTAAAGTTTAGTGTACTTGGTGTTACAGATACTGTTATTCCCTTTGGAGGTTCAACCATAACTTTGTATACCGAGTTTACAGGTCCAACATTTGTCACAGTTCTAGTGAGAGTGACTGTTCCGTTTAGATTTGGCATGGTTATCGAAGGAAAATTCACATCAAAAATGGAAAGCCCATTATTGCAAGATGTGGCTTGCCCTGCAAGTCCACTAATGACCCTACTGTCATATCCCATGGCACATAGGCACTGAAGATAATCTGTTGTGCTCATGTCGTAGATGAGGCCGGGAGATCTTGCTTTGTTGGGGTTTATGATCCCTCCCCCATGGTCAAATGCATCTGCCAATTTACTGATTGTCTCTCCTTCATTGAATATAGGTTGTCCAGATGATGGGTCACTTGTCCATGCTGCAAATTAAACACATTATACATTTATATTTCAAAGAATTTTAAAAAATGGGAATTAAATAAGATTACCATTTACCTATGAAAATGTAAGAATTGTACAAAACAAACCTGTTGTGACAATTGCGGATTTTATAGCTGCCGGAGACCAATTTGGGTTAGCAGCTTTGAGTAGTGCAACTATTCCTGCCACATGTGGTGTTGCCATAGATGTTCCACTGATAATCTTATATGTACTTATTCGTATATTAGGATTTTCAGGAACATATGCTGCTAATATATTTGTTCCTGGTGCCGCAATATCTGGCTGCAAATTGTTGTAATATCAAAAGGTTATTATACCAATATTAAGCACGTCCTGAAAACTTGACCTTCCTTGAAATATTACATATTGAAATGATACCTTAAGTATAGCCGGGGCTATAGTATAAGGGCCACGAGATGAGTATTTTGCTATGACGCTTGAGATTGGCTTCCCAATTTGAGTTTTGGATGGACTTAGCCGCACCTTTGGGTATCTGAACTTATGGTTTCATTAGTCACTTTAAATATGCAAGCTATAGTTTTCTTGTAATTATGTATAAAAGGATTTTAACTATTAAATGTGCATATATACCTTATAGATGCGATATAAGAGAGTATTTTAGTTCCAATCTCGTAATCAACTTGAGCACTAGGAAAAGAATCAGCATATGCATCTAGTAATGTAAATGGCTTCTGTGACACAATAATTCCCAAACCACCAACTCCTCTCACAACAGCCCGAGCTCTTATTACAAACCTTAGTACTTCAAGGTCTGAGCCACGACTTCCAGTAAAACACAACACCACGTTTCCAGTTATGTATGTATCCATTGTAGATAGGGTTTCACAAGACCTACACAATACCAAAAAAAAAAAAAAAAAAAAAAAAAAGAATTGACATAACACTCAAGCAGGCTAGCAATACTAAAGTATCATACCCTCGGGCAGCAACCAAGTTGACAACGCCTGTGTCTTTCCCAGTGAACAATGATTGACCCTACATAAAGCAATCTCATTAATCCTATCAGTCTCATTAACGAGGATCTGTAAGACGGTCTCATAGAGTTGTGTATATATATATATGAAGATAATTATATTTACCATGAGGGTTTGACCATTTCCAAGTGTGATTGGGGTAGGGAATGCTCTATCAGGTGTATTAGCAGCAACGGTTATGATCCATGGCTCCCCATTAGACACAGTTTGAGCAGCAGGCCCTGCGTTCCCTCCTGCAGCAACCACAGTGATCCCTTGTGCAACAGCGTGAAAAGAACCAAAGCTAATTGCACCAGCTTGAGGGTATAGTTCAGAATATAAAGGCACATCAGCCCCAAATGATGCAGATATCACATCAACTCCATCATGAATGGCAGTGTCAAAGGCCTTGAGAATATCGGCATCCGTAAATATGCCATCTTCCCAACCTATCTTGTAAATAGCAAGCCTAGCCCGCGGTGCACCGCCCCTTAATGTTCCTAATGACAGTCCTTTGTAGCTCACATTGGACACAGGTGAGCCAGCTGCTGTGCTAGAAGTGTGAGTGCCATGCCCATTTGAGTCCCTTGGAGAGATGTAGTCTCTAATTCCTATAGTGCTTCCAGGTTGTCCTTTATAAGCCAAGTAGCCATCAATGAAGTACCGGGCTCCAATTAGTTTTCTATTGCAATTCTTCTTGGGATCGAACAGCTCTCCAGACTGACAGTAGCCCTTCCATTTTGAAGGGATTGGACCTACTCCTTTATCATTGTAGGCTTCATTTTCTGGTGTCACTCCTGCACGTATATATTTAACCTAGCTAACTTCAATTCTAAGACTAATTAAGCTATTATATATATGTATTCACAAGCTAACAAGGGGTGCACCTGAATCAAGAACAGCAACGATGATATCATCACCCATATTAGTATCATTCAGGAGATTATTGGCAGAGTTGAAGGGTAGGCCGAGATAATCCCAAGTCCGGGTTGTTTGCAACTTGTAGACCGAATTAGGCATGACTTTAACAACGCCAGGTAAGTCTAAAAAAGTTGCAATAAATAAAAGTTAAGTTCTTGAAGATAACAGATTCAACAAGCTAATAAGCTAGCTCCCCAGATAATGGTATATATGTATTACTTGTAATGGTTTGAGCTTGGGATTTGGTCATCATGGCAGCAAAACCAGAGAAGCCATGCCTGTAGCTGTAAATCATTGAACCCACAGCTCCTTCTCGGCTGCATTAATTAGGCAAAATTATTGCTAAAAGAACAGAAAACTGGCAAGAAAAATGGTATATATATAATGCAACTACCTTCCAAGGACAGAAGTTAACATATCATGGTGAGTAGAAGTGATTCGATCTACATCATCATGCTGCCTCGCTCCCATATACACAATGTAAACCTGTTTTTAGTGAAAAATGATCGAGAAACAAACATCATATCAGTGAAGCGTTTGTCAAAATTCACCAATACAAAACTAAGTGCAAATTACAGACTTTGGACTCAGACAGTGCTGAGGTATAAACATTGGCATTTTGGAAGAGAAGGAGGGAGACGAAGAAGAAACTGAACAGAATGAATATGTTTTTATTCTTATCCATATTTTGGATGACACAATTAAGAAATTGTTTAAGCTTGATCTCTTCTCCTCCCAGAAACCGGCCTATATTTATAGCATGTTTCGTTGAAGGAGTGAGAGGCATATATATTTATTGCCTCTGCATAAAAATTCGTTGCTTTAATAAATAAATAACTGATTTCTTGGGCAAGTTGTACATAGACTATGGTCCATACTCCATATATATACTGTAGTTTCATAAAAATATTTGATGCAAAAATATAATTACGTGTTCAATTCATTATAACAATACTATTAATTTAATTTTTACTATGATTCGCATTGATCAATCACCACTTAAATATATTATTCTCTATTTTTTTCAAATAAAATCTATTTATAAGAATATATTGTTAAAAATTCTCTCTTGGAGATATTTTAATTAACATCTATATTGATATATATTTTTTAATATATTAATTCCGGGGCCGGATTTTGGACTGTGCAAGCTAGGCTACAGCAAAGAGTCCCAAATTTTAGAGGCCTAATATTTAATTTTTATCTAGCTAATTTATAGATAAAAACTAAAAGCTTTTAATTGAACTAAAAAAGCTCATGAAGAAACGGTAGGAACGTGTTTATTGTATTTTAGTTTCAACTTTGAGGTCAAAAGTTTAAAACTTGCGTGTGCTCCAACTTTGGACATTAATAATTATTATTTTAATAAATAAATTAGACATATTTTATACCTTTTAATATCTTAAAATTGATTACATGCATAAACTTGAATAAATAAATATATATACAAATTGAATCTCTCTCTGTGTGTGTGAAAGATCTAGTGCGAAGAAGTCCCACGTGAAATATATGATGAGATCTGAGTAGTTTTTAAATCTAGATCAAAGGCTCAAATTAATGATAATTTTTTTTAAAAAAAAAAAAAGATTAAATTAATTTCATTGGATATAATATAATATTAGTTATTAATTTTAAGGTTAAAGGTTGGAATATTGCTTTAAACAAAAACATGTAACTTTAAAAAATAATTTCAAAAATTCTAAACCCAAAGAATTTAACTATTTTAAAAAATCATGCCACTCAGAAACCACAACTCCACGATGTGGCACAATCCTAGTCTCCTAGACATTAATAGAATTAAAATTAAAATTAAAATTAAGAACTAATGTCTATGATTTTGCCACATCATCATAAAATAATTGATTTGTGAATGACAAAATTAAGAGAAACTAGCATTTTCCTTTTTTAAAAAATTATTAGGCCCAGTGCCCCACTAGAGGCCTAATTATTAATTCTAATTATTAAGAGTGGAATTCGATTTCATAGGATTACCGTACCCTTACATTAATATTTAATCTACATTTGCAAAAATTCCAAATTGAATTAAACATGTTAATAAATGCATAGCAGTGCTATAATCCCATTAGTCAACTTTTCTTTTAATGGCACGTTTGATTGGCGGCCTGGATGAAATAGCATTCCTAGTAATATATAGACATATTTTTTTGTTTGGTAAAAATTTCTATTTCCATGAAAAATATTCCTGGGATAACCTATTCTTCTTGCAGAGGGGAATAGAGATTCATGTCCCCTAGGTATTAGCTAGGCTATTCTTGAGTTCTCAAAAATAGCCTAGAGTTGCTATTTTTTATTTTATCCCTCAATTATATTAAATCTAAAATTTACATCTCTTTCAAGTTCAAACTCTTTAGCCTTTACAAGATATTTATATGATGATGAATAGCCTAGAGTTGCTATTTTGTCCCTCATTTCTTTATATGAATGCATGGTAGGGTGAGGTGACCTTTGTTAAACCCGTCAAATTGGCCAGCTTTTTAACCCACCCCACCCTGCTAGCCTACTTTAACAACTCTATCTTTATATCTAAACTGATTTTTAAGGATAATGGTCATTTCAGTTATTCTCCCTAACAACATATTTGGTTCACGTAATAGACTTGAAATAAAATGACATTCTCGTAAACATATATATTCAATTGTTTGTTAATGCATTGTGTTTTTGGGAATGAGTTATTCTTCTGGCAAGGAGGATAGCCATTCAAAGGATAGCCATCCAACATCCAAATACAATATAAATAATATACAACCTTAAAAAATAATCTTCTTCTTCTTATTATTATTATATTAAAAATTGGAGAGGGGATGTGGAGTGTATTTATTCCTCAACAAAATTCCTCAAACTCGTTTCCATCAGAATGAGGATCGATTTTTCTATCAGGGACTGGTTGAATTGTCATTCCTAGTGTATTATGTCTCGTTCGTCAAATTTTTTTTGTCCCTGTCTTTTGTTAGTTGGAGCGAGATCGGGATTGGGAAAATATATATATAATTAACATCTCTACATGCATGCAAATTTAATAATAACAAGCGCACATACTATACAGCTTAACATTTTAAATTTTGTAGAATATAATGTGACATGCCAGCAGGAGAAGTGTGCTAAGAGAGACAAAAGCTTTGCCTGGTATAATTTTGTTATTCTCACATAATTCGTAAATACAAACTAAATTATTGTTAATATAAAATGATAAATTTATTAATTTATACTTAAAAGTATAATAATAAATAGTTTTGCTAAACCAATAAATTATAAAGAGTTAATTATCGAAATGGTCCATTTACTATAACGAAATTATCATTTGGTCATTGACTATTTTTTTGACTAATTAATAAGTCACTTAACTTTAAAAATCTTAACTAATTTGGTCCTTCGTTTATTTTGTCGTTAGACATCCGTTAACTCGGGACCAAATTGATAATTTTGCTATAGTCAAGTGACCATTTCGATCATCACATGCACTATTTTCTCCAAAAAATTATTATTACTAAATATTAGATTCACATTTCCGATTCCGATTTCCATGTGCGAACCAAAGACACCATTGATTTATTTATCTATTGAACAAGGTCTAATTTGAATGAGTAATACTAAATGTACTCCTATTTTTTTACTTCATTTCTTACTCTCTGCTCATGTGACGTATTTTAATTTATCTAAAAAAATTAATGGGCTGTATTTTTTATTATTTTCTTTCTCTTCTATCAATTAAATTATGACACATTACGGAAATTGTACTCAATGGAACTATGTAAGTATATGTATCATTATCCGATTTGAGATCTGTTTGCATGGAGGATATGATTGCGGTGAAGGATAGGCCAGCTGGGATTACGACCGTCCAGCTGGCGGCGAAACAAGGAATCCGCATCTGCCGACGTGGCGGCGACCAGAAAAATGAAACTCAGAGCCGTTCTTAACAAGAATTTAGAAGCGACAGAATCACAGAACGGACATCAGTGTAGCCGTGTAGGAAAGCTCGTCGCTTTGTCTTATCCAAAATGGCAAAATCCAAATCTGCAGACCTAAAAGAATGGTGTTTGTTTTCGCTAAACTCCGCACAGTTCGCACCACCTCTGGAACCCGTCAAATAAATCAGTTTTTTCCTAGCTCAGAGTTTTCTTCTTATCCAAAAACCAAAATCTCCCAACAAAAACCTCCATTTTTGCCGCCATTTGGGGGATGACTTTTCACACATTTGCAGACTCTTCAAAATGGAACCCAACATTCCCAGAGACCCATTATATTTTCCCCTTGCGTATCCCTTTCTTTCTTATCACAAAATATCGAGGCAGCCTTGTCTCTTTGTCTTTTATCTTCTTTGTTATTGTACTCTGATCTTCTTGCCCACTCCCCCAAGTGTCTGCTAATATTACCAGAGGGTTTCTTCCTTCCTTTCTTTCTTTCTTTCTGTTAACAGTTTCCCGTTGTGAGTTTTTATATATCAGACTATAATTATGGTGTTGGTAGAGGCGTTTTGGGAGATTTTGGAAAGACCCACCATAGATGCCGTAGTTGTAGAGATGATGATGTTTTTAGGACCTGTATGGGTTGCGTTCTTTCTGGGTGTTATTATAGGATGGGCATGGAAACCCAAATGGGCGAGATTGGGCAATTGTAAGTTCGACTTTTCAGCTCCTTCTTCGCCCACGCCTTTTGTTCCTTCCCCGGCAAAGGCTTTGGACTCAACGGAAGGTTTCGTTGATCATATTGGTTGTGATAGTAGCAGGTAACTTTTGAGCTACTTGGATCCCAGAATTAATATGGACTACCTTTTTCTTTGGTTCAGGAGAAAATCCTTTAGTCATTATTATCTAGGGATATACACATATAAATTTCGTCTTTTGATCCTAGCCTGTAAAATGACACAATGAGATAAACTAGTTTAAGTTGTTCATAAGTGATCAGTTCAGTCGAACTTGTAACTTTGTGGTTACTGAATCATCAGTCTAGTTGGGTTGCCTAGATATTGAGTACCTTTTTCTTTTCAAGCAAGTGTTTTTGGTTATTCTTTGAAGCTTGGTTTAGGATGAATATTGATTAGGTTTTATTGTTAATAGGTTAATATAACTTAGGCTGAATGTTGCATATGGAATACTTGAAGACATGAAGTTATAGTAAACCAACAGTGGTATGTAGTTCTATGAAGACTTACTGCATTTGTGTAATTTGGGCAGCCAATCGCAAGATGAAAGAGCAGATATTAATGTTATTACGGATGAGGATTTAGAACATTTTTGCCATCTTGTGGAGAGAAGAGATGGAGGGCCATGTTGGAAGCATATGATGGATCGTTCTACCCCCAGTTTGAGTTATGAGGCATGGCAGAGGGATCCAAAGGTAATCCATACCTTTGGTCAAGCTAAGGTTTCCTTTCGTGTATATGAAATTCTTGTTTAAACAGATGGAATGCTGATTCATTTGTGTTGGCTGTTTGGCTAGACTGGTCCTCCTCAGTATTGTAGCAGAACGGTTTATGAAGACGCCACGCCAGAATTGTTGAGGGACTTCTTCTGGGACGATGAGTTTCGCCTGAAGTGGGATGATATGATGGTGCATGCATCGATTCTAGACGAGTGCCCTGCCACGGGAGCAATGGTATTGCATTGGGTAAGAAAGGTGAGAAGAGACCTACTCTTCTGTGACAACATCGAAAGTTTGACATGGTGAATAATGTTTTGAATGTGGTGTTTGTGCAGTTTCCATTTTTCTGCAGTGACAGAGAATACATTATTGGGCGTCGAATATGGGAATCAGGAAGATCATATTATTGCATTACAAAGGTTCAATTTTTAGAGCATCTCTCTATAGTCTCTAGTATGTGGATATAATTGAATTGGTTTTGAAAAGTGGCATGCTTACTTGTTGTCCAGGGTGTGCAATGCCCTTCTCTCCCGAGGAAAGACAAACCAAGGCGTGTTGATTTGTACTATTCAAGTTGGTTCATTCAAGCAGTGGAATTAAGGAGAGGAAACGGTGAATTCACAGCTTGTGAGGTGATTCTTTTCCATCACGAAGACATGGGTATCCCTCGAGAACTCATAAAATTCGGGGCGAGGCAGGGCATGTGGGGAGCGGTGAAGAAGATTGAGCGTGGCTTACGGGCATACCAGCAAGCCAGAGCTTCTGGGGAACCAATCTCCCATTGTGCATTCATGGCTCAAACCAACACAAAAATCGACCCCCCAGTCCACCTGGAGGGCGACGATGAACATGAACATTCATCATCCTTAAACACTCAATTGCTGGATTCACCATTCAAGAAACCCAGCCCTGTAAACATCCCAAAGATCCTTGTTCTTAGCGGGGCTGTAGCCGTTGCTTGCACTCTTGATGGAGGGCTATTACCCAAAGCACTCTTATTCCACATTTCCAGAAAACTTGCAAATCTTGGACGGAGAAAACGACCAGGAACATGACCCTCAATTCTTTCCTAGAATACTAGGTAGTAGTTTTGTCTTGACAAATTAGTCTTAGTTGTCTTGAGAAATTAGTCTTCTTCACCACATAAAAAACATGTGACAAAACAACAAGTACAGTTTTACCAGAGAAAATTCCGGTAGATGTTGTAAAGTTGCATAGTTACTCTACGGTTTCGCCCGTTTGTAATTAGTGTACTAGAGTTTGAAAACACCATGACCAATCATACAGTTGTAAAATCTTTTCACCAAACAAAATTTCTTTATACTCATGCCTCATCTTATACATCGATCCTGAATGGTTACGATTACAAGAATCCAAAAAAAAAAAAAAAAAACAAAAAAAAACAAAATTTTCAAGAATGATGCATATAAAGTTTCTTGTTTATATATACCAACCATGGGATTTCACATACACGAAACAATATTGTCATCATCGTTAATTCAAAGAATTAAGAATTTTCTGCGACCAATTCAATCAGTTGGGAATGATTGTCTCGAAACAGTGGATTCCATCCAACTCCAGGGCGAACCTCTGTTCTTGCCGGGGCTTCTTATCATACGACGGCGCCGGAGAGGCGGCGGCCTTGTTCGAACCACCGCTTGCCGGTGCCGGAGCCGGGAGCTCTTTCTGTTGCTGCTGTTCCTTGGCGGAAAAGGGTACCCCAGAAAGGCCCAGTTTTTGGCCGAAGAGCTCTGCAGAAAGAGCATCAAAGGAACTGAAAATCGACATCATCATCATCTTCTCTGTGGGCGAAATACTGGGAATCTTGAAAGGAAGATCTTAGAACTGCTTGTTGACGAAGAAAAGAAGAAAGAGGAATGGAGTATTTATAGGATGGGATTAAGGGAATTTCCTAATCCTTGCGGGTCTAGAAATATCTTGATTATGAAAGGGGAAAAGAATGCGTAAAACCTGAGTCCAAGTGGAAACGCGGGTCCATCCCAAACGCGTCACAGTTTACGACGTTCAATGTATTTCTAGAGACGACTGGAATTAACGGACGCCTGTTAGAGTTGACGAAGCCGTCCGTTAAATGAGAGTAGCGACGTGTCACGGTTTTTTAAAGTTGATGTCAAGATCCAAACAGAAAATAGCAACGTGTTTGGTTAGCAAACTTCCCGTGGAGGAAGAAACAACATGATTAAATTAAATGTGGTTCGAATTGCACTCTCTTTATAACAATTGCACAGTTGCTTTACCATATGCAAAGGATTACACACCACAAAACTTCGACACCACAACATTCTTAATAATCATTTTTATAATAAGTTGGTGTTTTCTTATAAAGATGATCAATACAAAACTATTAAAAAAAGACTACACATTATACACCATTAAGCTAAGATTCGAGCAAAAATGGGTCTAGCAATGTAAGAGTGCTCTAATGACCTTCTTGATTTAAATTGGTCAACTATAAACAACATAAGTTGATTTATCTTATTGTGGTCATTTGTCGGCTAGTGTTACAAAACATTATTTATCCTGTATAAATTTTTAAATAGTAATGAGTTTCTCTCGTACTACTAAAATATTAATATCCTACCAATACAATATATTTGTGTCCAGAACCAGCAGAATTCATGAATTGCCAAGTAAATTTTTTTAATTTAATTATTTTTGGGAAAGATAAATACTACATAAAATACTACATTGATGATCCCCATATTGGCAGATTGTTCAGTCTTTGCCTCGTTCTTGATGACGATTATGTTTAGTATGCAACTAATAAAACGACAAATGAGTCTTAAAAAATAACCCCGCTGATTAAAAATGAAAATGTTTTGTTATTCCCAAATTATTACTTATTTATTCTGATCTCAATGCATTATAATATAAATGTTGTTTTTTTGTAAAGTAATAATTAACTAGGTTAATATCATGATATGATTGATATATTAATATGTTGTGCATAAATAATATAAATAACATGTATACAAACAAAATCATACACAAATTTCTTTAATATTGTACTCTATAAATAAAGTTGTGGCCTTGTGAAGTTGTGGTATTTTAGTAAAATTTATATGATAGAACTATAACTCTATAAGGTAGCTCAATTACCCAATAGTATGAATAGTAAACCAAGGTAGGATTACCTTTTTAACAGAAAAAACTAAATTCAGCCATTTGAGAAATTTGTTGAGTAACCTATTTAGACATGCAATAGTTGAACTAACCAATTTATGTCTATAGTGCTAGAGCATTCCCAATAAGAGGATTTTCAATGATCTTTGCAGCTCTTTTACTATGTGTAAGAGAGAGAAGAGTGGAGAGAGAATGTTTGGATTTGTGGATCCTGGAGGAGAGAGAAACAACAGACTAGGGGAGAGGCGCAATACTGCCCACATACAGTGCCCATCAGGATGCGTGAAGTGCACGTGCTATCTGACGCGTTAAGTCGTCCTGCTTTGTTTTTTGTTTTTCTCTTTCTGCGTCAGATTTGCTTTTTCCTTTCTCCCCCCTCTTTTTTTCTTATCTCTTTCCCTTTTCTTTCCTACATGGCATGCAAAAACCAATACTAAAATCCAAACTAATGAGGATGCTCTTACTAACATATGTCATCATAACTCTTTGAGCATATTGTCCACTATTAATTAAATAACGCCATATTTTCCAACTTGCAATGCATCATCAGTCATATATTTTCTTAATAATTTTTGAGTAACTTCTTGACCAGTTTCTTACAAAATATTTATATATATAGTGTTCATAATTTCCAATAGAGTATTTATATTGACCAATTCTAATCATCTAGAATTCAACCTAAACATATACTTGTTCAAAAGAAGTTTAAAAGCACCAAGACTAGAGAATCCAGGCACATGCATCCATTTGCCCATTCTCAATTGGTGTACCTTCACCTCTTCAAAATGGTTCCGGTACTTACTATACAGTGAACAAAACTAGCTTTATTCATGTATTGATGGATTGGCTTTCATTACCAGATAGAGACTGAACTATCCCACACCTTAACCTTTGATACTTTCCTCTTCTTTTTAAGAAAACACCAATCACTATACTGTTCCCAGATTCTCCACAAATGCAAAGCCCATAAAGGAGCACTGTTTCATCTCTGGGGTTTGGTTGTTCATAAGCACGCATGGATCGGACTTGCAGATATACACTCGTGAAGATTAGTTAAACCCAAAGTTTAAAAAAAAATGGTAATTTTGAATGGATTGATGTTACTAATTCTGGTGCCAATATAATGTAGACAAGAAAACCAAAAGAATGTAGCTAGTCAGCTGTGCTTTAATTTTCCCAGAACAAGAAAATTAAAGAGGGTTCATCAGAGTAAGTATTAAAAGAAAAGTGGCCGGAAAAAGAAAAAGCTTACATCTTCATATAATTCTTCTTTCTGCAGCTTTTGACTATCTCGAGAAGGCACAATCTTGATGCATCCCTGACACATCTACCCTTATGTGTTTACCATATGCAAACATAGACACAATATAATATAAGCTCCTTTATCAACCTTGCATTATATCCTGTATGTAGATGCCATTATCATCTTCTTCCTAACAAGTACATATTCAGCTTTAATTTCATTCAAGCTTAGAGAATAGCAGAGTTTTAGAATTTCCTAGTTCCTAGCTAGTTAGTAAGCATTCAATGGGGAAGACTGGAGGGGGTTCCTGGTTAGGTTTAGTTAAAAAGGCTTTCAGATCACCTTCCAAGGACACTGAGAAGAGAAGCAGCAGCAGAAGAAGAGAAGAAGAATCTGAGCAAGAAAAAGAAGAAGAAAAGGTATTATATATCAGATTTCAGTCTCCAACTGGAGAAATATTGTATGCATGCAGAACATAATCTAAATGCCATTTCATGTGTCTTTGCAGAAGCGAGGAAAACGACGATGGATTTTCCGGAAGCTCCCTGCAGTCCATGAAACAACAGTCCACCACATTGAAGTAGAAAGCACTGCTGCTACCACTAGACAGACAATTTCGGGCATAAAGAACTCACTAAACATCAGTTGCCTGTCGTCCGAGGATGCTGCAGAGGCTAACCAAAGACAGACAATTGCAGTGGCCATGGCTGCAGCTGCAACTGCACAAGCGGCTGTCGAGATCATTCGGCTAACAAGACCTTCCCTTTTGGTCAAAGAACAGCAGGCTGCTATTGCCATTCAGACAGCATTTAGAGGATACTTGGTAAAAAAAATTGTGTCTTTAATTTCTGCAAACATCTAATTGTTTTTGAACTGTCTAATTAACAATGTGTTTGACAGGCAAGAAAAGCGCTTCGAGCACTGAAGGGAGTTGTGAAGCTGCAGGCCATAGTAAGAGGACATAATGTTCGGAAGAGGGCGAAGATGACTCTGCAGTGTATGCAGTCACTGGTAAGAGTGCAAACTCAGGTGTGTGATCGCCGCAGAAGGTTATCCTGTGAAGGGAGCTTGAATTCCATGTTTAATGGCGGCCCAAATAGCACAACTGAGCCTCATTTCTCACATAGAAGATCCACTGTGAGTACTAATTCCCCAAGAATTCATTGTGCTTAGCTTCATATTTCACTTGGATTTTTAACATCTTCAATTGTGTCAATAATGCAGTCTAGAACTGATCTCAGAGAAACTGCATTACAGCGCGAAAGGGTTCTTGCTTATGCCTTCTCTCAACAGGTACCAACCTTTTTTCTTGTTGTTTGGTGACTAAGGAAACCCGCAGCTACTACCCAGTAGTGTGCACTGGGTAAATTCTTGCTTGTGACTCTAGCCGGCAAAAGGTAAACGAGCCTAATTAAGTTGCTCATAGCTGACGGGTTCAAACCAAAAAGGCTTATAGACTGCTCCCGTTGCAAGTCAAATTTGTAAATTTATGGTTATCCAGTCTAAAGCCTGACTAACTTGGCTGGTGTTGTCTCAATTGTGACAGATGCCCACCGGGTAAGTTTCACCTTGTGACGGTAAACCAACTTAAATTGCCTTGACCGGCTCAAACCAAAAAGGCCTATAGGCTGTTCTGGTTGAAAGTCGAACTTGTAACCTGACCAAATTGACTGTGGTTGCCCTGATCGGCTCAACCAAAAAGGCCTATAGGCTGTTCTGGTTGAAAGTTGAACTTGTAGCCTGACCAAATTGACTGTGGTTGCCCCGATTATCCTTATTTCTTGTATTGATGAATACCAAATTGCTATAGATGTGGAGCTCAAGTAAGGAGGAAGAGGATACAATTAGCAATGAAGAGGTTGAGGAATATGAGAGGTCTTATGACAGGACAATTCTGAGGAGAGCTTCTTTTGATCAACCAAGAGATCCCATTAGGACAGTTGAAGTTGACACAGCCCAGTCTTACTCCAACTCTGCTCCTAGTTTTAGGAGACTGCAAAATCAGCAACAAAAACTGTGTTCCTATGTTGCACCAGTCCCCTCACCTCTCCACAGAATGCTGCACCAAAACCACACCATCCACTCATCACCCTGCACCCCTCCCTGCAAGATTAAGCCTATCTTGGTTCACTCAATCAGCCCTCAATGCACAAGAGAAGAGAGGAAGTACCCGACACCCAAAACGCCTAATTCATTCTCAAGCTACTTCCACAGGACTCCAACAACAAGTCAGCCAAATTACATGGCATCCACTGCATCAGCAAAGGCTCGGTCACAAAGTGCCCCAAGGCAGAGGCCTTTGACACCAGACAGAGAAAAGAACCCTTCTGCAAAGAAACGCCTCTCCTTCCCTGTCCCAGACTACACCTGCAACGGTTACTCCTCTGATCATACCTTCACCAGCTCTACCCAGAACTTCAATGCATAAACACATCAAGAACTTCAGACTTGGCATTAACTCAGGGGAGATTGTAAAGTAGGCAAAAGAGTTGAATGTTAGTAAAATTCCATTTCTGCATAATGTATTTGTACTGTTACTAGATGATCATGTTCAAATCCATATAACTGACCATAAAGATTTAGTTAAAGTTAGATTTGAATTCCGGGTATGTAGTGAGAATAATTGAGATCTCATTGGACAAGCAATTGGGAATTTTGAAAAGAAAAAGTAGCTAGGAAGAAGGGACAAAAAGAAAGGTGAATGGCAGAAAGGAGTTTGTTTTCTTTATCAATATAATATAATGCCTACATGGCTGCATGTACCTCGAGCACCGTTTTCTACTCCATCTCGCACGTTAAAAGAATATGAAGATGAATTCTTTATCAAACTCCACAGTATTGTTTTATGCGCTTCTTTAACGAAGAACATGCAGTTACTGCTGAATAGCAAAGAATGAAACCCAAAAAAAAAAAAAAAAAAAAAAAGAAGAAGAAGAAAAAGGACTACTGCTGCTGTTTGCTTTTTTAGTCTAAAGAACAGTTCTTTATCTTTATTAGCACTTAGCAGAGGGCTGAAATAAAAGAAGAAAAAGATAAGGGCAGAAATAGAGAGAAGGGAAAAATGAGGGCTTAAAATTACTCAATTGTTGAGAGTGGGATTTGAACCCACGCCCTTTCGGACCAGAACCTTAATCTGGCGCCTTAGACCAACTCGGCCATCTCAACTCAGTGGCAATGATTTTACATAAATGTTAATTATATGTTAAAGACAGAAATTGTGTCTTATATATTCTTTAATTTTAAAACATGATTGGAGGGTTCTTTCACTTCTTTGCATGACGACCCATCTCCCACGCTTTTAAATTCCAAATTTGAAATTTTAATTTTAAGCTTCATTCGTTCATACATATTTTTAAGAAATATATTTATTAACTCAAAACTCTTTTACAGATTAAAAAATAAAATATTTTTAATATTGATCCTACCCTACTTCACATTTAAACGAAATTTTAGAGTGGTATTTAAGTTAGAGTAAAAAGTTCACTCTATAATTAACTTTAATTTTGTAGCAGACTTAGTGCGTTAGGACGTTATGTCATTGATGTTCTTATTGAGAAGTCAATGTGTAACAAGAAAGACTTATCTATAAAAAGGTTGGGTCGTATTGCGTACCATTAAAATGGTAATACTTTAAAAGCCAAAACTTGAAGAAATTGTCCATCATAGAAACAAAACAACTAAAGAGAAGATTTTTTTCACGGATCTCTCTCTAGGGTTTGTCCGTAGAGAGCTTTTCTCCCTAGTTTTTTAGGGTTTTTGCCCTTGTGTTTGCTGTTGTTTTGTTCGTGTACTTGTCTTTATACACATCGTTCTTCTCGTTTTTTGCTGTGGTTGTGTGTAGTTTCAGCTGACAGCCACTTTGACTGAAACTAAGTTTTTTTATTTTTTGTTTTATTTAATTGCCAGAATACTTTTTTCCCCTTTTCTTTTTCTCTCCCTTTTTGTCTCTCTCCTACATGGTCTTTTTTAAAATTGTGCAAAAATCCAATTAGTATGAATGTTCTAATTAAGATATTTCAATATATATTAATTAGTCAAATTATGTTGTGCAACCGTGTGCACCAGGCATGGTGCACACATAATTGAATTTTTAATTTTTATACTATAGATTCATAATTATTGAGCTCTATATTCACAATTACAAAACTCTAGCTATGTTCATAATTTTCAATGTTCATATTCCCAATTGTTGAATTCTGTATTCACAAATCGCAGAATTATATGTTCATAATTTGATAACTATACAGTTTAGAAATTATGAATTTACAGTACAGAAATTATGAATCTACAGTATAGATATTATGAATCTGCAGTATAGAAATTATGAATCTACAATTTAAAAATTATGAATCTACAATTTAAAATTATAAATCTATAGTATAAAAATTATGAATCTAATTCTGTGTGCACCTTGCATGGTGCACACGGTTGCATAGCATAACGCTCCAAAGTATTCTTGAATATTAAAAAATGGATAAGGCCATTTGTAGTTATGGGCCTCTAGCCCATTATTAGTTGAAAAACAATTCACACGGTTATTGGGCCTAATTGATAGCCCTTTGTATTTTGTAACCCAAGTTTTTTTTTTTTTTTGGAGATAATTTTGTAAGCCAACTTAGGCACCTTAGGAGTCGTTATTGTATGGACCATGATGCTCTGTGAATCAAAAATAAAAAGGTATATTATTTGTATATATAAAATTTATTATTTGAGTAAAAAAATATATTATTTTATATAGAGTTAATACCAAAATGGTCCCTCAACTATGTCATAATTACCAATTTGGTCCTCAACTACCATTCTTACCCAATTAAGTCCTCAACTATGTAACTTTTACTCAATTAAGTCCTCAACTATACAATTCTTACCCAATTTAGTCCTCAACTATACAATTCTTACCCAATTTAGTCCTATGTATTAATTTGACTGTCAAAAGTCGGGATAAAATTATAATTTTACAAGATTTCTCCTTCCTCTCCATTTAGCAGCGCCAAACCATGCAGCAATACACTCCGATCAGATTTCGATCATCAAAAAATCGTTGGAAATCAAATTCATAGACTATCCGATGCATAACCACTACTTCGATACTGACAGGTTTAGAATCCAACCGGAACTTATTGCTACATGGTTTGGCGCTGCTAAATGAGGAGGAAGGAGAAAACTTGTAAAATTACAACTTTATTTCTACTTTTGGCGGTCAACAAACAGTCAAATTGACAAAGGACTAAATTGGGTAAAAATTGTATAGTTGAGGACTTAATTGGGTAAGAATGATAGTCGAGGACTAAATTGGTAATTACGACATAGTCGAGGGACTATTTTGGATATTAACTCTTTTATATACTATCAAATAATATACATTTAGTATATAAATAATGTACTTTTAGTATTGATAGAGATATTTCCTACCGAATCGTAGTCCACACTTGGTTGGTATCGGGTATTGTATTTGAAAAGAGTCCAATCCAACCTTCACCGACCTGGATTGCTCGCCTTCCCGACCTTAATAAAGATCTAGTGCGATCTTGCTGGAAGGGCGAATACCAGCATCCACCGCCCACCCAAGTATTTGAGGTCGACACCTGATGCATGTAATCCACGTGCTATGCATGCTGAGAGACCGGCAGTTGTCCCCCTCTCTCCCCTTATAAATACTGCATTAATTGCGGGGGATGGGGGCTTTGTCAATTTTTACACACTAATTGTTAGCTCGGAAACATCTGACCCACTGTCAAGTCTTCCGAGCTTTAAGACTTAAATCAACAAGCAGACTAGGTAGAGGGACTGTAACCAGAACTGACCCTAGCACCGTATTACATAGTAGACGCCCATATTTACTACATCAAGTAGTATATTAAAAGTGTACCTTGTATTTAGGAAACATTTATTATTTGAGTACTGAAAGTACATAATTTTGTATAATGTATATTCAATACACAAATAATGTACTTTTTTTTTTGAAAAACAAATAATGTACTTTTAGCATATTAAAAACGTACTCCGTATTTTTTTATGGTTCACACATCATTGTGTGGACCATCCACGTAAAAATTAACAGGCTAGTTTGCTGACTTGTGTTGTTTGGGGCAAATTATTTGTGTAGACCGTGGTTCACACACTGTTGTGTGGACCATAACAAAAAGTACATTTTTAATATAGTAAAAATACATTATTCGTATATTAAATGTACATTATTTGATAGTATGATCCACACACCTGTGTGAACCATGATTAACATAATAAAGATTGGTTGTTTGAGAACAACAACAATGATTGGTTGTTTGGTAAACAAATCACAATGACTCAATCCTCCATCTTTCCTTTTTCATTTTTTTTTTATTATTGTTCTTTCTCCTTTTAAAAAATAAATAAATTAGTATGGGATACCAATCATAATCAGATTCATTGAATCTAAAAGTATTAAGGTGTAAAACTTGAAATACAATCAAGTTAATATTCAACCCATTTATTTAATTTGAAACCATAAATTCGAATTAACTGTCTGAATATAAAATCTACAACTTTTTTTTTTTTTGTTGTTCATAAACTTCAAAATTGGAAGTATGTATCTTATTTGCCATTTCTATTCGTATCAAATATTACAAAGGACACCCTGCTATACCAACATGATAAGTTGTAATAAAGAAAATGACAAAATTTACAAACTCATTAAAGCTCCCAACAAATACAAGTAGTCAAAATAAAGTGGGTAGGAATTTGGTTTTCATTGCCTTTAACTATTGAACATGGTGTGTGATGTTACATTTATTGACTTTTCTACCCCTTTTTTTTGACATAGTGTCTTCCAAATTATAATCACAACAAAAATAGGGGCTCTATACCGGTGTAATCAAGGAAAAACATGCCGCATTTTCCTTTGTGACCATCTCTATGTCTAGGCTAACACTTAATACCTGCTTTGTCCTTATTATCCTGGCTTCTACTTTTCCAATTCAAATGGAAATTTGCTTATTATTTGACTTTTATAAGCTTTTACATTTACTCTCTTATTTGTCCTTTTTTCTCACAAATTAATTATGTCATGTCAACTGGTCAAGTATCCGTGTTGGCCATCGGTCGGATTTGTCAAGTTCAGTCCCAACTCGATTTGAGGCGTGACGTTGTGACTTACCATGGAGGGATGCGGTTAAATGGTTAATGTCCACCTACTTGTTATCAATTGATTTTAAATAGGATATGACAACCTGATATTAAAAAAACTTAGTGGTTAAGCATGTATGACTTACAACAGTCACAGGATGACCATCACCCCGAAAGAGGTAGCCAAATGTGGAGTATGATTTTTTTTGTATATGAAGATCACAAGTTTGATGAGCATGGTTTACCCAATACATACCTTCGACCTGTATAGTAAATTTAAGAAAAATCTTGAATATTTTATAATTCCTGCATATGATAAGTATTTTGTGTTCTTCGAAGTTATACACTATTAACCCTTAAGCATGAAACATGATGTAACCTTAGTAGACTTTTTTTTTTTTTTTTTTTTTTTTTTTTTTTTTTAAGGTAACCAGTGTGGTTATTTTAGATATAAGCTGAAATAGAGTCAGGAGGGACGGAGTCCCAATACATAGCCGTAGCCTGCTCAAAAGCAGTAAAAGCTAAACTATGTGCTAAATAATTCAGCGATCTAGGAATAAAAAGAACTGAGCAGGCATGAAATGCCGAGATGTAAGTTTTGCAACTATCAATAGCATAACCGTTCAAAAAAAATAGCATAACCAGTAAAAGTTCAGGGCGGGTCATCTGACGAAGATAGATAGCACTGCAGTGTATGACAATCTGTGTATAGACGAACAGACTGCTCTCCACGAGTATGTAGCTAAGATAGTGCCTCATTTGCCGCAAATGCTTCGGCCATAAGTGGTGAGAAACAGTTTGGAAGGGAGGCGTTGTATGCCGAGATATATCCACCATTCGCATCGAGTAATATTACTCCAACCGTGGCCGAGTTTGTGGCATGGCGATAACCGGCGTCGACGTAGCATCTCCGATGATGTAGTGCGACAGCGTGATCTGGAGCGGCGAAAGGCGGCAGTCCAGACGTGGAGGCAGCCGACAGCCCTTCGACCGAGGTAGCGGTCAGCGGTGCGTTGGGCATTACATCGTGAACTTTCCTCCATGTCTGCAAGGTGGCTGTCGCCGTGACAAGTATTTTTCTGGGCAATAATAGACACGCATCTCAAACTGCTCCGTTCCGCGCCCTCCAGATATGATATAGAATAGCAGCTGCTCATGTTAATAGGTTGTGAACAAAAATATCTTTATTATTAAACATTTGTTTTTCAAAGTTTTTTTGGGTTGATTTGATTAAAAAAAAAAAAAGAAAGAAAGAAGAATATACATAATTCGCTGACTGCTGACTGAGACGCGGAAATATAGCAATTAAGCTAATAAAGTTGTTTGGCCGGCGTTAGGTCTGAGAGAGTTTTTCCATTTTTCTTCTTGACCGTGAGATGAGTAGACTTTGACTGATCGTGATCGGAGAAACGTTCGCCGTTTATGGGGCATTGTTGCAGCAAGGTCGTTACGGACAACGACGACGGCACCGCCGGGGGCGGTGCCGTCGGGAACAACCATCGTCCCAAGCCACCTCCTTCTCCGGTTCCTCATCAGCAGGCCGCCGCGAATGGGATCGCGGAGGCTCATTCCAGTAAGAACACTCCGGCTTATTCCTTCACCGCTAGTCCATGGCAGAGCCCCTATCCGGCGGGCATCGCTCCCTCGCCGTCTCCGGCCGGCACTCCCAGGAGGAAATTCAAGTGGCCGTTCCCTCCGCCCTCGCCGGCAAAGCCTATAATGTCAGCTCTACTGAAGCGGCAGGGACCCGCGTCGGCCAAGCCAAGGGAGGGGCCGATTCCGGAGGAAAATGGCGGCGGTGGCGGTGGCGGCGAAGCCGGAGATAGACCGCTTGATAAGAGTTTCGGGTATCCGAAGAATTTCGCGTCCAAATATGAACTGGGAAAAGAGGTGGGTCGCGGGCATTTTGGTCATACTTGCCTTGCTAAAGGTAAAAAGGGAGAGCTCAAGAATCAATCTGTAGCTGTGAAGATCATTTCCAAAGCAAAGGTGAGTGGTATGTGCATTATATTTTCCTTAAAAAAAATTCAATTTGGTTAATTCGATCTTTGATTTTACTGCTGTAAAGCTGATTCAAATTGAATCTTCTTGGATGAGATATAGTGTGCACTGCAAACTATTGATTATTGTTAAGAATCACTAACCAATTTCTTTTTATTAATAAAGATTCGATTTTTTTTTGTTTTTTCCTGGTAAGAAGTCTCTGATTCTGCAAAGTTCCTAACTTTTGCATCTAAGAGCATTAAAATAGAGTAGCCGTTTTATTGTGTAGGAGCTACAAGTGGTCGCTAGCTAGAAACATTGATCATGCTTACTAGAATGCCCTTCTAATTTAAATTCCAATTAAAATTATCTTGAAAAGGTCAAGAACCTTGTAGTCACCTAGGACTCTTAGGTTCAATTCAATTCCCATTCCCAAATCCATGTGTTTTTGTTGACTACAAGTTTTTGTAAACGGAGGGAGTAATTTATATGCTAGTGGATTATCTTTTCTAGATCACGGTTTGGTTGATTCCCAAGTCTGTGCTGCTGTTATTGGAGGGTTTGTTTTAGAATGCAGTACGATGCTTGTCATGAAACGTGGATCACCACATCAGCCTCCCCCTGCCAGAACAGAATTTTAATTTAAAAAAAAAAACCGCTTCAAAGTGTTATTCCTTTTTTATCTGGCAGTGAATGCATCCTTTCACACAATTTTTGGGTGCCAATTTTGATTTCTAATTATACATCACTAACTTCAGGAATGTTTGGTCTTGGCTTTGGCAGATGACTACGGCCATATCGATTGAAGATGTTCGTAGGGAAGTGAAAATTTTGAAAGCATTATCTGGACATCATAATCTGATCAAATTTTATGATGCATTTGAGGATGCTCAAAATGTCTACATTGTGATGGAGTATGGTTTTCTTTGTTAACTCTTATCTTACTTCACTTCATTATTTGCTCCTGATACCGCAGCTGACAGCTTAGCAATTACTTTCTATTTCCTCAGTTGCCTTTTGTCATGCATTTCATATTTTCAACAAAATTTAGCACCATGCTCCATTGCTCCTAGTTTTGGATTTATCTCCTACTTATTGTTACCAAGCTGGAATTCTATTGATGAAGTTATAGCCCAGTTCTCTAAATTGTAAACTAAACTAAGAATCGAATCGTTATATTCAGAATGGAGTCTAAATAACCTATTTAGTTGTTAACAATTGATGAATTGACTCATCATTATCAACTGATGGATTGACTCATCATTATCAACTGATGAATAACTGGATAACCAGTAATTTTAACTTTTAGCATATGAAATATATCTACTAAAAGCTACAATTGCATTCAAGCTAATGAAAGGAAAACTTGAAAAACTGAAATATTTAGGAAAAGGGGTTTCTTGCTATATAGGTTTAAAGTCCTTTAGAACAGTCCATTTAAAAAGCTGAAAATTTTCCAAAAGGTCTGAAGAAAATGCATATGATTCATTAAATTCATGCAGACTACCTGCTTTTAGTTCATGAAGTTCTTCTAGTGTGTGTGTGTATGAAAACAAAGTAATATCCTCTCATTTATTTAAACTGTGGTTTTTAACAGATTGTGTGAAGGAGGGGAACTATTAGATAGAATACTATCAAGGTAATGTTTCTTATTTGTGACAACTAACATGAAAAGTTGTGTAAGAGACTTCAGCTTAAATGTGTACCTTTTTTTCATTAATCTTTCAGAGGTGGAAGATACACGGAGGAGGATGCTAAGAGAGTTATTGTGCAAATATTAAATGTTGTAGCCTTTTGTCATCTTCAAGGTGTTGTGCATCGTGATCTGAAGCCAGAGGTAATACAAACATTCATTCCATTATCAATAATCACCACTAAACTCATCCATATGCAACTTTCAGTTCATTTCTGTTTGGTCTTTTACTAAGTGGTTCATTTGCATATTGGTGTAGTTGCAACTTCTAATGCCTGTGAATGTCGGTTTCTTTGCAGAACTTTCTTTTTACCAAAAAAGAAGAAGATGCTCCCATGAAGGTTATTGACTTTGGTCTCTCTGATTTTATCAAACCAGGTAATATTCACTATTCTAGCTCCTTCATGTTTGTTTTTGCTAGGAAGTTGATCTTTCTCCTCCATGATCTCCTTCCTTGAATGCTTTTGCCTCTTGCAAAACCAGGAAATTATTATTTTAGATGTCTTCCGGCCCTCCCCTTTACCTGGGTCCAAACATGAATTGATTTTGTTTTCAAAGTTTTCTAAGAAAATTCAAAACCATAAGTTCTTAAACTTTGCAGATCAACGTCTCAATGATATTGTTGGCAGTGCATACTATGTTGCACCTGAAGTACTTCATAGATCATACAATGTTGAAGCAGACATGTGGAGTATTGGTGTGATAACCTATATCTTATTATGTGGAAGCAGACCTTTTTGGGCACGTACCGAGTCAGGAATCTTCCGTTCTGTACTACGAGCAGATCCTAATTTTGAGGATGCACCTTGGCCAGGTGTATCTGCAGAAGCCAGAGATTTTGTGAGACGGCTTTTGAATAAAGACCATAGAAAAAGAATGAGTGCAGCACAAGCACTGAGTGAGTTAGCTGATCTTAGATTATGTTTGGTGTGAGCAATTATCTAAAGATAGACTGGATAATATTTACCTAAATGCTTGCTTATATATTTGCAGCTCATCCATGGCTGAGACTCGAAAACTCTGTTGTGCCTTTGGATATATTAATCTATAAATTGGTCAAGTCATATATTCGATCCTCACCGTTGAAACGTGCAGCACTGAAGGTATTTGATAACTGATTT